ATACTCTATCACAGATGAAGTGAATTAAATGCAATATTTGTCAAATACACAGCATATATTCCCCCACTTTATTAGTATTTAAATAGTATATATTTATGTTGAACTTTATTCTTGAAGAGATGGCATTGTATTAAGCAGTATATAATCAGTATATCTGTTGCTCATGAAAACGTTTCTGAAACGTCTGTATATTTGACACATATTCAATCGCTATTTCAAATGTAGACGCGTGGCAGGCGCGCTCATAACGGAAGAGCAATATGTGTCAAACATACAGACGTTTCAGAAACGTTTTCATGAGCAAAAGATATACTGATTATATACTGATTAATACAATGCCATCTCTTCAAGAATAAAGTTCAACATAAATATATACTATTTAAATACTAAAGAGGGAGCCAGCTGCTCTCGAAACGCTATCGCGGTACTTTGATGCCACACGTGACAGTGACGTGGCGTCGGCGCCGGTTCAAGTCGGACAAAATTTCTAACCGGCATGCACTGCTTCAAGTCAGCCGGCGATCGGTTTGCGCGGCGCCGCATCAAGTCGAACGCACCTTCTATGTATCTCTGTAGCTTTAACAGCATTGTTAATAAATAACGCTTATACTAACATTTTAAATTTTAAAATGAGCATTTAATTAATAACTATTCAACAGTTTAAACTGCCAATAAACACAGTTATAGTGAATGTAGCCATGCAATCCTGTCAGCGGTTAAAGTGATACGCAGTTCGCGCCCCTCACGTGACTGATGTGGGCGGGGCTAAAACGATCACATCACATGACTGGAACATTCTGCCTCATGACAGTGAATCTGCTGCCAGACACTGAACAAACATCGTAACTCCGTTTATAACTGACAGACACTCATATACGCGCTGGTCGTCTTCAGTACGCAAGGTTTAGTACGTAGTGTTTGGAGTGCTCGGAGTTTGACGCTTTTCCTGACGGACGTCAGTAGTACAGACAGACTGAGGCACGATGGTCAAACGGTGTTTCGCTGCAGGTGTCTGCTGGACTCTACTGATGGGTAAGTCATTATAACTCAGCCAAAGTTATCATTATACATCATCTAGTTTGAACATGAAGATATGACGCTATCAAGCGCGAATCTTACAGACTTATCGACGTCAAACTGTCGCTCGCGTCTGACTGGCTCTGGCTCAAAGTAGTTAACGTATATCCGTCAGTTTGGTGTAGTTTAGTCAGTCTGATTCTCTATAAACTGCGTGTTTGTTTCACTTTTGTCCTTTTATTCACCATTATGTGCTGCTTTTATGTCGTCTTTCGATAACTAAACGTGTTAGTGTTACCGCTTCATCCTGCATTTGCTTTAATTTGTGTGTTTTTGCTTTAATTTGTGTGTTTTTGCTTTAATTTGTGTTGTTTGGACGCGTATAGAGGCGCTGGTGACGAAACGTGAGCAGCAGATCTGCGTCACATTATCAGAACAATAGAGCTTACAGCAATAGTTCAGTCCAGATCACTTTGTCATTTTTCTCACAGTCTCTGATCATACTGCATACTGCACACCAGTGGTGGAGGTAACGAATTACAACTACTCACGTTACTGTAATTAAGTCGTTTTTTCGGGTATTGTACTTTTTTGAGTATATTTTTAAAGCTGTAATTTTACTTGTACTTAAGTACAAATTAAGCAAAATAATCTACTTCATTACTTTTAAATCGTAGTTCGTTACTGAGTACGCCCACAATTTGAATTAATATTCAAACCTTTGACGGCACTTCAGTAGCCAATAAAGATATCCGATCGTGAAGGGACCAATAACAGCCCTGATATCTTTATTCTTGAATAGATAGCGATGTAGTAAGCCATATATAATCAGTATATATATCTGTTGCTCATGAAAACGTTTCTGAAACGTCTGTATATTTGACAAATAATTGCATTTAATTCACTTCATCTGTGATAGAGTATGCAAACACCGCGCGAGCGTCACTAACGGGAGCAGAAAGTGTCCGGCTTGACGGTTCCGTTTTCAACTACGCCCCCGACTGCAAGCGGCTGCTCTCGTTGACTGCCGACTGTAGCCGTGCTTCAAGTCGAAGGCACCTGTTGCTGATCATGTCTGTTGCTAGGCTGGAGCAGAGCCATAGAAAGAGAGAGTTGCGTCAACGGAAGTCCAAAACGGTCGAGTATGAAGGTAGAATGACGTCAAAAAGATTTGCATGTGCAGGGTAAGAGTTGTGGAAGAGTACATAAGACCGTAAGCGTAAATTAAATTTGCATGCGCAAGCAAAGCTTTGTAAAGGTGTAAATCGTGTTTCAAGCGCAAGAAAAAAATATTTGCAGCATTTTATTGTTACTCTTAAGCGTAATTCATGTATTGTGAAACTGCAGCTTCATGCTAACGCAAAATAAATATGATCTGCATGCTTCTGACTTCCATTTTTCCGCGCTTACACTTTTGGCACGTTTTTGTCGCCAAAAGACGGTCAAAAGCACTGCAAGCCTGTGAACAGTGATTTGCAAGCGAAAACAACAGTTTAAAGAACTGCAAAACGGATTGACTGCATAGAACCAATCTGTATGTGTAAAATCACAACTCTCTCTCTCTACGGCTCTGGGCTGGAGCAGGACCTCTGGACGCATGTGACCGATCAGCTGATCTGTAGACAGTGGAGTAGGCCGAATTTTATTTTTGGGTGGGCCTGGGCAAAAGTGAGCGGGCACTACTAACTAACGGACAGAATCTGACTCGATATTCAGGTCATTTCAATCTTCTTTTCTTTGATCCTATTGAAAAATAAACCATAGAACACAGTGGAAGACACAAACTACCACGTCTCCATCTCCGTCATGAACGTGCCCATTGTCAACATATCAAAATCATTCACAATAGCCCCAATCCCTAAATACTGTTGCAGATTACAAAATGCCAATCAAACTATAAAGTTAGAAGCTGTGTAGAAAGAATCTCTCACACCAGGTCACTAATGCACTTCTGCTCAACTAACACAGATGTGAACTTGTATCAGCTGTCACTTAAAGTGCCCCTATTATGCTATTTGAAATGTTTATAATTTGGTTTTGGGAGTCCCCAACAACAGGTTTACATGCATACAAGGTCAAAAAACACTTTCATTTTCTTATAATATGCATTTAATTTAACTTTATTTCTCAATGACTCTCAAACGATAAAGCACTGCAGTTTCTAAACCAATGTATTGCTCCATCCTTTAATATGACTCCAAGTAAAACAGACATTCTGTAGTAATCTACACATTTCTAGACAATAGCAGGCCCACAGCAGATTAGTAGAACTACAACATGAGTTAGCCAGAGACTTACAGCTGCACTGTAAGTTGAACATCACGACAGAACATCAAAAGTAACAATTATTAATCATACTTACAGGTTGTGATTCGTAGGAGCAAACAGTTTCAAACAAACTGGGCACTGACCCATCTTTCAAAGACAACCGGTTTACGAATCCCGCATTGAACTCGCGGAGATTGGAGTTCAACACAGCAAAAAGTTGTGATTATTCTGCAGTGGTATTGTAATAAAGATTAATTTTAACCACTGATTCTTCACAGCCTCATCCTTTGGAAATGAAACTAAACCAAATTCGCTTTCACAGCGCAGAGCACAGCGTCTTCTTGACATTATGTTACAGCTGCATTACACATTGCATGAAATGTAATTTTCAAAAATCCATAATAGGGGCACTTTAAGTCATAGAATATTGACATACAAGAGAACTGTAGCTACAACCTGTCCACATACAAAACCTGAGTACCAGAACGAAAGTTAAATACTGCTTTATTTATTCCGACAGAAGTCATTTAAAATGTTATTTGTATATTTAAATTTTAATTTCATCATTCTACAGTAAATGTACAAAGATAGCCTATTCAGGGCACTGTATTTCCTCATATTTTTTCAAATATATTAAATATAATTAAGGTGTATAAAATAATTTTATTCAGAAATGTCATGCTTGTGATTTTTTTTTATTTGTTAATTCGTTATTTAATTTAAGAGGTCTACATATTCGGAAACAGGTTAGGTTAGTTGCCGTTGTCAGTTGCAAATATTATAAAAATAATCTTTGTGAGGACGACTGGCAGCAACTTGTCTTAAATTCTTTAGACACCACACACTAAAAGACTTTAAACACCGACTGAAAACCCTGACTGAGCCCAAATTACATTCATAATCGGCCTGACAGTAGTGTGTTCTCAGCCTTACATAATGAACCCGATCAGCCTGCGCTTGGAACTGAAAAGTCTTACCGTTACTTGTGGGTTGATAGACAGGTTCTTTCACTTGCGTCCTTTTTACAGAATTATGCTTTGCTGCATTTTCTAACACACAACTGCAAATTATAGGCTAACTGCATGAGTGATTCACATGTGCGTCATGCCTGAGACAACCTGGATAACACCTAATTGCCTAACACAGCTGTCAATCAAACTCATCAAGAATTATGCAAAAACACATTTAACTTATTTTAGTATTTGAGATATTATAATAGTGCTGTAATTGTGATAAAATAGATTAAACGACAATTAATTAACAAATAGGCCTATTTGTATAATAAACTGGGACCGTCAGGCCCGTCCACTGGCTACGCCCCTGTCTGTAGATGTAATGTGACTTAGGGCTGAGCAGTATGGCGGTATACAGTTGTGCTCATAAGTTTACATACCCCTTGCAGAATATGCAAAATGTTAATAATTTACACAAAATAAGAGGGATCATGAAAATTGCATGTTATTTTTTTATTCAGTACCGTCTTGAATAAGCTATTTCACATAACGGATGTTTATATATATTCCACAAGACAAAATAATAACTGAATTTATAAAAATGACCCCATTCAAAAGTTTACATACCCTTGAATGATAATACTGCGTGTCATTTCCTGGATGATCCACGACTGTTTGTGATAGTTGTTCATGAGTCCCTTGTTGGTCCTGAGCAGTTTAACTGCCTGTTGTTCTTCTGAAAAATCCTCCAGCTTCTGCACATTCTTTGGTTTTCCAGCATCTTCTGCATATCTGAACCCTTTCCAACACTGACTGTATGATTTTGAGATCTTTTCACTCTGAGGCAGGGCTTGAAAACTAAAAAAAAAAAAATCCAGTCTGTTCACTCCGAGCAGAATCGATATTTCAGCGTTTCTGTTCCTGAATTCCTCTGTATTATTATCGTTCCAAAACCGGTTTGCCAAGAAAAAATAACAGTTAATAACATTACTTTTTAAAACTTTGTTTGCCTATAATAATAATAATAATAATAATTACAAATTGCCTAATAATAATAATAAGTAGAGCGTTTTCTACTCGAAAAAGAAAAAGGAGAAAAAAAAAAAAAGAGAGATCTTACCCCGCTGAGCTTAGTCACAGCCAATACAGCATCATCTTTTCTAGATTTTGGCCAAATTATAGGCTACTAAACAAAAGAAAAAAATCTGGTAACATAGAGCTGGACAATAATTCAATATGTATTGCGATATAATTTTTTTTCAATAACGGTGATATGATTTGTAAACACATTTCCGATATTTCGATTACCAGTGTTCCCATATATTGATTTATTTGTGGCGTTTGATACATTGACTTAAAACGCGGCGCGGGTGTTTTATATGAATGTATCTCTGAAGGGAATTGACTGTCTTCAGAAAAGTTTCGATGGCATTTTCATTTGATCTGATAAAGTAGCATTCATGAGCGGAGCTGCTTTGATTACAGCCATTACTGGAGAAACCGATGTTTCTGCCGCTCTCAAAGCGCCTCCTGCTGGCAGACAATCAGTTTGCATTTTCAATAATCCCGTCTACAGCAACATGTTTTTGTTGCTCAATTTTTGGGTTTTCTGCAGCAATTCAGAGCACTTTTCATACTCTTTATCCTGGCCAAAGCACTTTTTTTTTTTCAATCTATAAGAATAATCAGCCTACACTACCAGTCAAAGTTTTTTGACAGTAGGATTTTTAATGTTGTTTTTTTTTTAAGAATTCTCTTCTGCTCACCAAGCCTGCATTTATTTTATCCAAAGTA